AAACAGTAGCCTGACACTGTTTCGATGTGGAAACTCTGTGGTGGAAGATAAGGAGCATTGTGACTGTGGGACCATCAAGCAGTGTTACGTCAACCCATGCTGCGAAACTGACTGCCGCTTTACGCCTAGGAGCATTTGTGACAGGGACTCCTGCTGTGAAAACTGCACCTACTCGCCTGCGGGGACTCTATGCAGAACAATCCAGAACATTTGTGACCTTCCGGAGTACTGCAATGGGAACGAAGCGCGGTGCCCCAGAAATTTTTATCTTCTAGATGGAACCCCATGCACGGAAGACGGCTACTGCTACGATGGCAATTGTACCGACCGCAGTCTGCACTGCAAGGAGATCTTTGGGAAAGGGGCGCTGAATGCTCCAGACGCCTGCTACAACATAAATACAAAGGGCCACCAGTTTGGACACTGTAAAGTTACTGAAAATGACCAACCAACTCCTTGTAACATGACTGACGTTAAGTGTGGGCGCCTGCAGTGTGTCAATGTCACTCATTTGCCTCGGTTGCAGGAACATGTGGGGTTCCATCACTCAGTTTTAGGGGGGTTCTTGTGTTTTGGGTTGGGTGCACATCGTGCAACAGAAACAACTGATGTGGGTGCTGTGAGACCTGGTACCGCCTGTGGGGGGGGAAAGTTCTGTCTTCAGGGCTTCTGCAATGTTACTCTCTCGGACATAGAGTACAACTGTCCCCCTTCGAAATGCAACTACAGGGGCGTGTGCAACAATAAGGGAAACTGCCATTGCCATGTCGGCTCAGACCCTCCCTGGTGCACAAGGGCTGGTGCAGGAGGGAGTATAGACAGCGGACCCCTTCCAAGAAGAAAACGGAGAGTGAGGGATAGTCGTATGTCAGTGGTGTATTTGAGAGTGTTTTTTGGCCGCTTGCTTGCCCTCATAGCTGCACTGCTCTTTGGTGTAGCCACGAATGTGAGAAAAGTCCAGACCACTTCAGTCACTGAAGTAAACGTTAAGGTAGAGTAAACAGCAAGTCAGCCTTTGGACCCTGCACAACTCAGGCAACATGAAGAAACACCTGCAAAAAGTCACCATAACCAGCTGGCAGAGCTCAATCCCACACATCTGAGCGGCGGCAGGGGTCCTGCCTCACATCCAGGGTGCACACTGTGGACGTTTTCACACCACTCTCTCTCTGACAGCTCTCTGGCCAGCGTCTGCAATAAAGTGTGAGCACCGCACATTGGCTCCTGTGAAGTTCTTGTAGGTATGTAAGAACCCTGAGTGAGACTGAGGCTCGGGCCTGGAGAGGAGACCTGGTGAGCAGCTGGCCTTGCGCTATGGACGCCTGTCCCAGGATTAGTGCCAGTGGCCACTGGTTCCTTTAGGGCCAATTCCTGACAGCTCCCACTACTGTGCCCTCGAGCACCGAGTGTCCCTCAGTCCCCGGGCAAGGTCTCTAAAGTGCTTGGGTTCAGGGCAATGGTGTGTCCCTCCCCTCTCCCAACCCTGTCATTTTCACACAGGGGTGGGGTGGTGTGGCTGTGGGCTGAGAGTGAGGGTTCCTTGTCTGCTAGTGACCCCTGAGCGCCCTGGAGAGCACCCTCCCCTCTGTGGAGGCGGAACAGTGAGTGGCACTCAATCAGAAAGAAGTGGCCCTCCTGACTCTGGCCTCAGAGTGAGAAGGCAAGCCGAGAGCAGATAACCCTCCCCTTACTTGCTCCACCAGAACCATCCTCTTGGTTTCTGCAATCTCGCTTGCTTCTCGCATGATGCAGCCAACCGCCCAGGCTGCCACATTTGTGTAAAGAACCCTGAATGCTCGGAAGCTTATCATGTATGAAAAAAGGTCAGAACCTAGTCGTGTGTGTGAACGACTGTGCCCCATGGCGTAAGCTACAGAGCCTGATTGAGTCCCCCCCTGGGGTTCTGTGGTGAGCTCATATGGCTTAGGGCGGTGTCAGGTTCTGGGGCATGCTGTCCCTCCAAGAAAGCCTTATGGGGGTCAGGGTCTTATACTGACCTGCCAATGTTAAGAGGCCTCATTCCCTGGGAGGGGAGTAGCCAGATGGACAACAAGAAGAGTTCCTTTTAGTTTGTCTCTCAACACTCTTCACTGGGAGGGTTTTAGTTCATCCTTTTGGATTCCATCATGGAGTGGGGGTTCCTCACAACCTACAGGTCTGGAATGTATGATGAAAAACTTGAAGAAAGGGTTCTCAGGAGATTATGGGGTCAGATTGACCCCCAGAAAGCTGTGCACCCTCCGTGAATTGGAGCGGCCCACCTTTGGTGTAGGATAGCCTTCTGAAGGCTCTCTCTCTCTTTAAAATTTATTTTATTAATTTTTTTTACAGAAAGGGAGAGAAATAGAGTTAGAAACATCAATGAGATAGAGATATCTATCAGCTTCCTCTTGCACACTCCCTACTGGGGATGTGCCCACAACCAAGGTACATGCCCTTGACCGGAATCAAACCTGGTACCTTCAGTCTGCAGGCCGACGTTCTATCCGCTGAGCCAAACCGGTTTCGTGGTCGGTAGAAGGCTCTCTTGTTGTCCCCATGTTCCGTGTTTTGAATGGGATCATCACTGGAAGCCACGGCCACCTGGATCGGTTTCCTCACATAGACCAATGGTTAGAAATAGCTCAGATTAACCTTCCCGCTTCCGGTTCTGCATTACTGGTCAGGGACAGTGTAAGGTCTATACAATGGAATATTATGCTGCCATAAAAAAGAAGGAACTCTTATCATTTGCAGCAACCTGGATGGAATAGGAGAACATTATGCTGAGTGAAATAAGCCAGTCAATGACACAAGATGATCTCACTCATTTATGATTGATAAAGAACAGTATAATGTGATGAATAAAAAGAGAGATACATAGACAGTAAAGCAACAAAGACTGTCAAATTTCAGTGGGGAGGATAGGGAGATATGGGGGAGATAAGAGAACAACCGAAGGATTTGAATGCATGCATATAAGCATAACCAATGAATGAAAAACTCTGGGGAGGGAGGGCATGTATGGGAGTGGGGAGGGCAATGTTAAGATATGTGCACATACAATACCTTAGTAATAATAATAATAATAATAATAATAATAAAAGATAACTATTTCTGGCAAGTACCGTTTCATATTTTTTCTCTGTAGGTATACAACCAAATTACCACAAGGATACATTTTCCACCAAAATGGTTAACAGATTATGCAAATAATTTTACAACTTGGTTTTGTTTTCCAATTAATAACCACGAATTTCTTTCCCCAGAAAATAGCTATAAAAACCACATAGATATGTATACACACACACATTTGTTAACCCTTTTGTACGGATATTTCTTCCTTTTAAAAGACTGGAAAAGATCGCTTCTCAGCCTTTTGGCTAAGATCAAGTGTAAAAGACTGGAAAAGTGGGGTGGCTAAACTCGGAGGGGACACGTCCATCGGTTGCCTCTTGCACACGCCCCCACCGGGCTGGGGATGGAACCTGTAACCAGTATGTGCCTTTGACAGGGAATCAAACCCACGGCCTTTAAGTGCAAGGGCTGGCACTATCTAGTGAGCCATACCAGCTGTGGCTGCTTTTAGTGTGTGAATACACAAGGTATTTCCATCCAATATTTGAATGCACAATATATTTAACCAAGTCCATTTTGATGGGCATATCATTTAAAAAGCCGAGACCTGAGATTGAAGTGTTGTCTAGGTGAGGTGAGGTGGGGCCTTCCTAGGGAGACGCAGTAAAGTGCAAAGGCTCCAAGCCAGAGGGCAGTGTGCATGGGAGCTAGCTACATGTGATCATGACAGGAAAAGTAGCTCAGACGAGGGAAAGGTAAACGGGCAGACAGCCACGAGGCCTGGGGGAGTTGGCACAGTGGAGGGCACTCAGTTGAGTAGCCCGAGCTGGAGACCACACTGGCCTGGATGAGGCAGGTGGCTCAGTTCAGCTATATTCTCAGAATGAAGACACCTGTTCACCTCATTTCTCATCAATCTTTAAATGTTTACAATGTGATAGACACTTGGCCTTGCAGATGGTTTTGAGTTGCTATAATTACTAGTAAAGAATTTTTTCCCATGTGTCATGGGCATCTCAATTTCTTCCCCTGTGGAACGCCTCTTCCCCTCTGGGCTGTCACCCCAGAGAGCATGCACGTAGCAACCGAGTTGCAGTTGGGGGCTGTAGGAAGTGTTAAGTGAGAACTCATGCCTGTCATCTCCTTGGAGGTTCCCGTGGCTGCCATGGCCTTGGGAACGGGGGTTCTTGCCTTCTGAGGGAAGGACCTGTGTCAGCCACCCTGCTCAGCAGTACTGCCGTCTGCTGCCTCAGGACAGCCAGTCACTGGAGCCAGGCAGCCTTGTACTCCAGCCCCCACTCCAGCCACGTGACGTGGGTACTTCAAGCCTGTTCCCTCCTTTGGAGACGGCCCCTAATGAAGCTTTAGTCTTTTCTTTACCCATAGTTCCTGGGTGAAGCACTAGGCACTTGAAAGCCACACTCACTAGCTGAGCACCTGCAGGCAGCTTACTCAGGGAGAACCGTGGAGGCCAGACCCTGCTGGGACAGTCACTGTTTGTTTCAGAGCTGGGCAAGTCTGAGTTTCCCTTCCAGAGGCTGGACTAGAGAACCCTAAAGGCTCTCCCGGATATAACTGACCCAATGGCCAGTACAGAAAACAACAGGGAAGCAAGGAGGATGGCATCCCTGAGACTAGGCTGTCCTGGATTAGCTGGCTTTCAGTCCTTCATGCCTCCCAGGAAACATGGACTCCAGCTACTTGAAAAGGGGCACAAATCGAAGTCTCAGTTCTACCTTATGTCCCTCTACTGCCCCAGCCAGGCTGAGGGCACCAAATGCATTTCAAATGTGGACAAGTAACAGACTACGGAGAGCCCTCTAACCCTCTCAGAGCCAAACCATCCTATCTAATAAAGAGCTAATGTGCTAAATAGGACGAAGCCAGGGCTGCGAGGGGCTGCGAGGGCTGAACCCCCTGCATGAATTTCGTGCATCTGGCGCCTAGTGATTCGTGAAACACGGTGCTAAAGGGTTTACCTTGATTCGAGGCATAGTAACTGTAGGTGGCTTGGCTTCCGCCACAAAACTGTGAGATGCTCCTTCTTCCACAAGGTGAGTTGTGTAGGGCATAAATTTCACACCTTTTGACCCAAACACAAAATCATCTCTCCAGCCATGGATTAGCATAACAACAACTTTCCCGAAGAGAGGTGGGGGGAGCTCGGTCCAATTGGAACTGGCTCCTAAAAGGGTTTGAAAGGAAAAAGAAAACGGAGCTGTCCGCTTTACTTAGCATTCATGCCCTACAGCCTCCTTTCTGCCCACGTCTCTAGCACAGCTCCCGCCCCGTCTGCAGGGCCCTCCCCGAGCAATGCCCTCCCCTATCCCCTACAGCGTGCGGGGCGGCTCCCAGGAGGCGGCCGGGCGCCCCAGGACCCAGTCAGGAACTGCCCGCTGCGCGGCGAGGAGTGCGTGCTGGGCCCGGACTCCCTGCCAGGCGAGGGCGCTGGAGAGGCACATGCAGGCGCTGCACCTGGAACGCGCGCTTCCCTGCGCGGACGGGGAGCTCCCGGCAGCCGTGTCCACAGGTCAGCGGCCCGCGCGGAGCGGACCTGGGCAAACGGCGCCTCTGCCTGGCACGGACTGCCCGGAGGGGCCAAGGAGGGGGCCCTGGGCGGCCGTCACCGCCGGCGACGAGGGGCCTGACGGAATGTGAGACGACAGCGAGGGCTCCGCAGGGACCTCCATCTGCTGTGGCTCAAGGAGCCGAACGGGTGCGGGGCGCGGGGCTCGGAGCTGCTCGGGGCGGGGCGCGGGCTGGAGGGGCGGCCCGGCGCGGAGAGCGGGCTTTCCGGTGACCGGACCGGAGGTGGAGACGGGCTGGCGGGGCGGGGGTCAGGTTGTCGGACGGACACGGAGCCTGGGGCGTCCGGAGAGGGGCCGGGGTGGGGTCAGGGAGAGCCCCGCGCCGAGGGGCTCCGGAGGCGGTTGCTCCGGCCAAGGGCGGCCCGGAGGCGGGGCCGTACCTGCCGAGGGCTCGGGCGCCGCCGGGGGCTCGGGCTGGGAGGAGGAGCGCACGGGAGGCGGGAAGAAGCCCCGCAGGAAGAGCGCGACTCCCAGCACCTCGACCGCCACGCAGCCCGCGGCGAAGGCCCCGCAGCCCAGCCGCATCGCGCCCTCGGCGGCCGCCCGGCCCGCGCAACGCCGGCACGCACGCGGGCACGCACGCACGCACGCACGCACGCACGGGGCGAGCGCTTCCGGTGCCCGGCTGCCTGCGGACCAAGGCCCCACGCACCACTTCCGGCGCGCCGGCCCAATCCCCGCCCTGTTCCCGCCCACCAGCCTGGCAGCCGGTGGCCATTGGCCGGGGGCACGCCCACCTCCCGCCGGATGGGGGTTGGGGTGAGGGTCCTGGGATGAGGAGTGGGGCAGAGTTGAAGGGGAAGCCCCACAGCCAAGGGGGCGGGCGCTGGTGGCCGCTTGAGCCAGTCCAGCAGAGACAGGCCGACTCCCGTGAGCCCCTGCCTGTGGCAGACCAGCAGGTCATCCCCAAAGCCTGCTCTGCATCCCCTAAGCCAGCAGCTTGTGTGGTAAGAAGGACAAAGATTACCCGGGGAAGTAGGCAAAAGGAATAAAAATGTGTGTAACGGTTACAGATAAGAAGTGTTAACGTAAACAGAAAGAAACACATTCAAACCTGTAAAGAATTTCTGTGCCTTAATTTGAGCCCAACTGTCAACAATTGCCAGAAAACAGAATCTCAATGTATTGGGGTAATGCCCCGGATATCCCCAGTCCCTTCACACCGCTTTGCACACCACAAGCAGAGGTGGAGACGCAGTGGGTCACATGAGATCCACCCGAGACACACAGACCCTGGAGGTGGGAGAAAGCAAAGGACGGAAGCCTCGGGGAATGGACAAAAAGTAAAATGACTCATCTATCCAGGTGGGCACAGCACAGTCATCAGTCAACAGCCAACATAAGAACAATGAAGGACCTTACGGTGTCCTTCCCGCCTTGGTTGTGCCCTTGTTACAGAAGACTGGAGAAAAACCAAGCAACGCTGAGAGAAATGGAGTTACACAGCTTTATTACTTCGGGGGACTCAGAGGAGGTTGCCTCTCAAATCCTGAGTGTTACAGAGGGAGTCCCCAAGAGATGGAGCACCGAAGACAATTTGATTAAGACAGCAAGAATTTATTACAGATTCGAATCCAGGCTCAAAACCGTGGCTGACGCAGCAGCCGTCAAACATCCAGGTGAGAGCCCCGATGTAGGGGCAGTACCTCCTGTTATACCTCTTTTCTCATCCTATCCCACTGTTGGTCTGTCACTCCCTGATTGGTCCCTAAGGACAAAGAACTGGCCATCCGTAGCTGTTCGTAGGTGGTTTGTACAAACTTGTCTGTTCTGTCTCAAGCAGGAATGCAGGACGTTGCGGTTTTGCTGACGCCAATCTCCTAGCTAGATCTAGAGGGAGGTTTGCATGTTTCACTGTAAAGGAATTCCAGGCACCGAGTTTCAACTGCCCTTATCTTTTATAAAATTTTCTACTCTGCTCTGGTCTGTCTCCAGAGTCCTTATCTCTTGGGCCGGCTCGGCCAACTGTCACACTAAGCAAACCCATATGATGGAAGCCCCTCTTTTACCCCCTTTTGGTGTCTTTGTCCCCCAAATATGGATTATTCTTCCAGACCGTTCTCAGACTTTGCAAAAAGCCCCAGGTGTTGGGGGGCTTGAGACCATACCGAAGGGCCTGGCCTGGCACCAGCACTATAACCCCATCCAGAGGCCCTGTCATGGTTTATGGCCGCTGTAAGATGGGAGCATTTAGCTAACAGGTTTGTAAGACCAGTTTGTGTAGAAAGGGGCAGTGACTTAATTACAGTCATCAAGAATGTACGTTAGATTGCTGGCACACATTCAGATTGCTAGGACCCCCCCGTTCCCCACCCCTTCCTCCCATCCTCCCCTCCCCCGAATATCAGTATTACTTTAGAATTAGCCTTTTAGCCTTCTCACCCTGAAGGGCACGGAAAAAGCGCAGCCACAAGTCACTTATATTTCACAGGTTTTCCCAATCTCCTCCCCTCTCTACCCTCTACCACCACCTTCCAGATGCAAAAAGGCAATAGGCTCAGCCAAGATCAAAGTTGATTTTTGCCAAAGAACTAGCCTAGGACATGACCACCCACCACAAACTGCTCTCCAATGGTCTTCAATTTCAGACCATCCTCTTCTTGTGATCCTCCCGTACTCCCCATCTCTGCCCCAAAAGACCCCCGCCTCCAAGGCCGCCAGCCAGCATGTAGCCCCTTTCCAGTCCACTCAGGCCATGTGGGCTGGGAATTGCAAAGCACAGGCACATCCTGGACTCCTCTGCAACAAGGTGGTAGATCTTTCCAGGGTACTAGCTCTCCAGCATGCCCAGGTCCCGGGGAGTGCAACTCTCAGCCAGGTTAGGATATGCATTCTCTAACCAGAACAGAACAATCCCAGTTAACAGAGCAGGATTACCAGTTCTTCCCCTAGCAAAAGAGGGGGGAAAGTGGATGTGGGCTCCCTGAGAGGCTGGGTGGGGGTGGGGAGTGGGGACCCGAACATGGTTGTTCCCAGGAGTGCCTGATTTCCCCTAATCTGAGTACACAAAACCTCGGGAGTGTTAGGTTTGTTGGAGCAATTGAGTCAACACCCCTCCCTTGGGAACTGGCTTTTCAGGTCATTTCACTATGGATATTCCCTTTGCTGAGAGCACATTTCACTTGTGCTGACCACTTCCATTCTCTCCCCTCTGGGAATGCACAAAGAGGTCTTCGCCCCTCAAAAACCGCCAAAAGTGCCGAAACCGGTTTGGCTCAATAGAGCGTCAGCTTGGGGACTGAAGGGTCCCGGGTTCAATTCCGGTCAAGGGCTTGTACCTTGGTTGCGGGCATATCCCCAGTTGGGTGTGTGCAAGAGGCGGCTGATCGATGACTCTCTCCCATCGATGTTTCTAACTATCTCTCTACTTTCCTCTCTGTACAAAATCAATAAAATATATATTTTTTTTAAAAAACGCCAAAAGTCCTGACAAGGCCGCGGACTCCTGTCCCTGGGTGCAGGCACCATGCAGGCTCAGCCAGGTGGTGTGCTGATGACCAAATAAATCCCTCCCCACTCTGGCCTCGTGCCTTCCTCCTTTGGCTCCTTTGGCGACCTAACAAGGAGCAGCACACAGCACTCCTCGCCCCTCCCTGGGTCCCAGCTATCCTTTGTTACCATGTGGGCCACCCCAGCATTGCGGGGTGTCTTGCCCCAAACAGGGACACTTCCCCATAGGACCACAAAGCTCCACAGAGCCCCACATGAGGACTCTACATGGTGTGTGTTGTAGATGGTGGATGGGCACCCGGTGTCTGACCTGTGGAGTCAGGTCAAACCTGGACCAGCAACTTTGGTACTTGGGTTCTGGCTGGCAAACAATTCAGAGTCACGATCCAAACTGTAAGAGGACATTTATCTGGTAAATCACAGACGGAGCAAAAGTAATGTCTAGAGGACTTGGGCTTAGGTAAAAAGTTATACACGCAAAGGAAGGGCCCTTGGAGCTTGGGAGTGAGGAAGATGATAGTAACACGCCTTGGGAAGGGACTGGGAAGGGAGGGGAAAGGCAGGGGCTGTCCTGGGAAGAGAGTGAAACAAAAATACTGTGGTGGTAGGTAACAGATGAAGTAGAGAGGGTCGGAGACTGGGATGCCAGGACACAGGCTCTATTGAAGAGAAGGGTGACACTGCCAGCTGCTTCCAGAGAGAGAGATTGGAAGAGCAGGAGGGCCGGGGTACAAGCACTTTTTCTGGGGAGGAGAAGGGATGGGGCTTAGGGCACTTAGCACACACTGATTGGTGGTTTCATGTAAGGCTTATGATTAGGGACCTAGGGACTTAGGAATCAGGGGCTTAGGGTATTTGGCAGGTGCTGGTTGGTGGTTCAATGCTCAGGAATGTCCGGCTGCAGGTGCAGTTTATGTCTGTCCATCAGTTGGAGAAAGGGAGGCTCTATCAGTCGGTCAGAATGCTTTGTCTCGCAAAACTGAAGAGTGCATTCAAAGACAAAAACGGTGGATGGAAACTAACCTTTTGGAGGGATTGTGGGAGCACTCACTCGTCGATCTTGCTTGACTCTGCCAGCTGTTGGGAGCACTGGACCTCGGATGCTGGGCATTAGACAGAGAAGACATGAGAAGTTGTAGGCACATGCAGGAGAGGCTACTGTAGATCAAGTAGCCATTGCTCATCTAGAAGCCAATAAATAAAGTAGTTCTTCAAGATAACCCCACAAGAGCAGGCAGAGAAAGCGGCCCATCGCCAGCTGGTCAGTAGAAACTTATATAGACGCTCAAACAGAGGAGGCCTCATGCCAACTAGTGATACACGATCAAAGAAGAAAAAAACCATTGAAACCTGTAAAGAATTCCTGTGAGTTTATTGGAGCCAAACTGGACACATGCTGGGAAGCAGAACCTCAACGAATTGAGATAATGTTCTGGAGATTGGCGGGTTACATCTGTATTTATACTTTACAATCAAAGGAGGGATGTAGGTGGGTTACATGAAATGCATCGGGGAGAGATTCTGGAGGTGGGAGAAAGCAGAGCTGAGGGAAACCCTAGGTTGGATAAAAAGTAAAATGATGGACACATACTTAAGTGGGTGCAGGGACAATAAACGTGATAATGAAGGAATTTGTGGCATCTGTCCTGGCGCCCAGCACATTTGGTGATGCCCCATGGGGTCCAGAAATAGGGAGGTTACCAATCACCCAGACATTTCAAGGGCTCGTTATTATAGAGGCAAAATTACAGATAGGCTCAGTGAAGGTAAAGGTTGACCTTGTCAATGAAGATACCAGCCTAAGACATAAGTGCCCACCATAACTGCGTTTAGTTAAAATTTAATTTCAGACGATCCTTTGAGGTTACTGTAGGCCTCACAGTTTCTAAATCTGCCATGCAGGACTCCCCTGAGCTTGTCAGGTTAGCATGTGGCGGTTTTTTTGGAATTTAACTTGGCGGTAATGACAGAGCATGTGTGCAAGTAGCTAGAGGGAAGCCTGGCATGGATGCAATGCAGGCATGGGTCTGCTTCCTCCTCTGCTGCTTCCAGCTTAGCATTCATGGACAGGGTTC